TAGAGAACAATGTGCTGGGACATTTCGCTTGTAATTTAATGGATAGGAGCCTTTTTGAGGGGGAAAATCATCCCAAGAACTCAACCCGCCATGGGTGAAGCGAGAGGGGGTGTCATACTGACTAAAAACTACGCCGTTCCTACTCTTGCCCCGAGCCGGAGCCGGAGCCACGTACTTAACGTGACTGATAAAAAGCATTTCATATTCCACAAAATATCGTTCATGATGATCAAGGCTTCGGTTCGAAGCATAAGTAGGTACGGGGTGTTTGTAGTCAGTAAGCGCCTGACACTTCTTCTGACCTCACGCCTCACACAAAGCGGGAGCAGTCATTTGATGATTTTCTCCCGTTTCTTCTATACTCCTTAATAAACTTAACTTGTATTTTTTATCCACGCTGCCTTGACTTTTGCTCTTTGTCTCACTGATCACGTTAAAAACTTAAAGTTTCAATAAGATTTTCCTGTTATTCATTCATATCAACTACCAAACTTGTATGACAAGATGGATGAATATATTGTATGGAAGCTAAATAAATTTAAAAGGATCGTGGTGGGCGGCACTCCTTAGTTTCTGCTCAGGCGTGCCGTGAGTATCGTATACGAGAACGATCTGCTAAATATAAAACACTAAGGGCCGATTTTTTCAACGTCAGATAAATTTTAACTGAGGAATAACTTTGAATACTTGACAATTCTGGAAAATATAACTAATATAAAATGTCAATTTTATATTACAATAATAATTGATGATTTAAAATTGGCCCTAACAATTCTTCATTTAAACAAGGAACTTTATTTTCTAGGAGGATAAAGTACGTATCATTTTAGGAGCTGTCTCAAATTACGCACAACTCGTAGATAACTATTAAGTAGGTAAAGAATAACACAGTCACATTTATTTTTTACATAGAATAAAAGCTGTTTGCATCTTAAGAACTGTACAATTGTCGAGCAAAAAGACTCAGTACTATGTACTTCCCGGAAGAATCACTTCTGGGTGCTGGAAATGTATTGCTAAGCTGCTAAGTCGCTCTTACATAGTACATAGAATTTACAAACACTTGTTTGTTCGATAAGCTGCAAACACAATCATATCCGCTTGCTGCATCCCAAACAACCTGTGTTGGACATCAAACTTCCTTTAATTAAAATTCAACAAGTTGTTATAAACAATTAATAAAAAAAACGCGCCATCTGCATTTTCAACTTCACAAAAAGAGCCTGAAATTAACAAACAGTAGAAAAGCAAGTACCTAAAGTATATTTAAAAAAAATATAATACTAAATACAATAAGGTTTAACAAATAAGATATATCGAATAGTTGCCAAGTGTCGATTGCCCGTCGAGTAACTACAAATAAATGCTGTGGCCGCTGTGGTACCGTACGCGTACATACATACATAATACGCTTATCAAACAGATGTATATGTACATCACTGTAAATGTATATCTACTAAAAGCTATTTCTGTATCGACCGTGTTTGTGTGGCTTCAACTGCGCATGCCTGTATGACGACATCCAATTCTGCCGTATACTGCGTCGAGAGAGCGGCGATTCAGTGCGCTTGAAACCGACGCAGGGGACGGGCGCGTCGCTGTTTAAACAAATTCACTCCATAGTTTCATATCGTACTTTCACCAAGTGTATGTAAACAGAATAGTTTATACTATTTAGATACACAAAGTATTGTTTTGCGGTTAATAAATATGTTTTGAGTATTCAATATATCTTTCAAGTTTTTATTCGTTAGCCAGTGTTTTAATTGTTTTTCTAATAAAGTTTGTGGTGATTTGACGTAAACGTAAGAAACCTTGGAAAGCGTAAAAAATTGTTTCCGTGTAATTTTATTACTACGTATAATCAATAGACTTGTTCACTTGTCATGGTGCATTGCGATCACCAAGGCCGGTAGCGCGATAAAAGTGCTATTTTTCCTGATAATGGAAGTTTCTTTTTTTATCTTCACTATAACTAACAACGCAAATAATACTGCATAATAAATGTGTACTTACTTAAATCCTAAAATTCCGCGTTCATATATAAACTCATTATTTTTATAGATGCTAATAACAGGAAAATAGTTATTATAAATACAATTTTAGCCTCCCAAACTTTTGTATTATTATTTTAACAATTATATTGAAGTCATATATTTAGTTTGATATTTTCCTTGTACCAAATTGTGTTTATTAGGTACATTTGGAATATCTTATCACTGAGTAGATTGCTAAACTTTTATTATTATGTGTCATCCTTGAAACCACTTTATATGGGCTTGTAGTAATTATATTGTCTTTTAACAATTATACGTAATTTTAACATTATATGTCGGACGTGCTCATTACATTTTGGTAATCACTGTAACAATAAGGATATTTGTACAAAGTGTCTAACTGCCGTACTGTCATTTAATGGTTATTTACAAAGTCCTCAGCAATTATTATATTATAACTTTCGTAAGACATACTAAATTAATTATTATGTTTCGGCTCACTCACGTAATAATTTGACGAGGAACTCTACTAGTTTCAAGCCATGCTAGAGGCTCATATTCATGAGCAGCATTCCGCGACCCGCGACGCGGCTTCTGTCCTCAGCAATTGTTCTCGGAACAAACTCAGTACCTACTAAGGTATAGTTTAAGTAATCATGAAATGTCTCCGAGTACGGCACCAAAGCGTAATTGACACGTATTTCGACGCATTTTGTATTCAATATACGTGTCAATTAAGTAAACAGCAACTTACTCACACATCGCGACATTGACCTTTATCTTACCAACTACTATCAAATATATACGAGAATAAACAATGTCTTTTCTTACAGATCGTGGTGGCTTTGTGAATAAAGATTTTTTTATAAATGTTGTGGTTTTTATTGTGCTTTTCTTGGTTTAGTTATCCGCTGCGTTTATAAACTGGAATAATTACATACCTAAATACATAATGGAAGACATATCCTTCGTTTGAGAGACTCGACATGCAGAATCAAGAAATCGTGATCCATCTGAAAAGTATCAGGAAAAGCATCAAAATTGGATGAATGAAGCAATTTCAACGTGATGTTGTGGGGACAATGAAACGATTGAAAACTTTCAATTTTTTCTTTAATCAATAATTTAAAGCTTACAGACATTCTCGTGTTGTTACAAGTAAGCGTGGGCACTGCCGTGCCGCCGTGCTATCGCCACGGCTCATAATCCCGTTCAACTGAAATTTCGCCACTAAACCACTAAGTCGGTACTCGGGTGCCGGCAGAGGCACATTTCATGCGCCGCTCTCGGCACCGAGTTCCCTCACAAATAAAAATCATATCCATTCATGATTAGAGTATTATACTTTCAAATCCGTCTCAAAATGTCATCAAAATGTTTTGAAACCTGCGCTATACGACCAGTGCTCGCGTTCAGATGGACGTCGCCCATACTCCTACTATACATATATATTTCGATACTTGTACAACATAGTCACTATACATAAATAAACATTCTCCACGTTGTATCTTTTAAATAAATCCGTAAACTTTTATTTTATTTTGTCCGCTCTGAACAATACATGTTACTGGTCTCTAAAACTGGATTTTTTATATTTAATTCATTTATTAAAAGGCATAGGCGTTATGTACGTAGTATAATTGCTTGAGTTTCCAACAAAGAGATTGACATACACTTTCTGGACGGTAATACTCTACATTTGTCGTAAGGGCGTACACAGGGAAGATTGGAGTGACACAGGTCTGTAGTACGTTACTGCCATATACCACGTCTGTATACGCTCCTACTGCGCGGCTATCCGAAATGATAATTGACATGCATCTAGCTCAGGTCTCAATGATGAAATAAAGAATCGCTAAAATCGCACGCGAATCGTAAAATTCATAAAAAAATATATTCAAGGAATTATAAACACAAATGGTTCTTTTCTTTTTTCGTTACACTTGTGCCAAATTCCAAAATCGTATTACAAAATGAAATCGCGATTCGAAACTAAAACGGTCGCCCTAACATTGTCCATTCGCCGCATGCCGAGTACAGCCGCGGGGAACGACACGACAGACATGTATTACTTTATCAACGAAAATCCTTCTCCTCACATAAACGACGTAGTAACAAAAATGCTTACAAACACAACCGTAGACATACGTATACACACATACACACACCTCTCACACATCGTTCACTCTGCATCTCAACCGCCCCGACGGGATCGCGGAGCAAGAAGGACACAACGAAATGAGGTCACATGCAGTTAGCTGGGTGCCTCGTGCCCCGCGACACTAGTCGACGCATGGAGGGAGACACTGCTCCATCGCGGGCGAGTCAGTGAGGGAGCTGACAGCGACAAAATAATCACATCAGTGGAACCAGTCAAGACAAATGAATACATCAAAATTGTTAACTCGCCGTCAGCTGCCACCTCGTGTCAACACTAGTCCTGTCCAATACACAATTTGAAGGGAACATTGACTTATTGTATCGTATGGTTTAAAAGGTTTGAGATTTCTACAACGTAAAGGATTAAATTTGCGGACGTTTTAATGAATTTCAATAATTCTACTGACAGGCAAACTCAGGTCTTACGATATACGTTAAACTATTTCCTATAATATTTACTTCTGTTCATGACAGTGAACATAATTTCGAGGTTACAATATTATGAATATTTAGGTATTTTTACAGGTATATCAAGCATGATTTTGTATAATTTCAATGTTCCAAATAAAATCAAACGTGTGAAATCTGTACAGCCCAAAACAATCAGATCTAAATCTCGAACAGAACGTTGGGACTAAGTCTGGATAATTTATCGAATAATTTAGTGATCGATACGACGCAATCTTTCGTCATATATTTACGTTATTTTTGCGCACGATACGAGTACTTTCTTATACATTTCCTCTCGTTTTATACAAAGGAGTTATGACTATATTATTCTAAAGGGAGTCGATAGTTATTGCTATAGAGGAATAGAGAAGTGAGCATGGGGGAGCGGGCGGTTCAGTTGTGCACGGGCGGGGCGTGGTGGTGGCGCTCCAGGTCCTCCAGGCACAGCGCGTTGGGCACGTGCACCGACGGCAGCTTGCCGGCCGACGCGCGCGCCAGCAGCTCGGGCGAGAACCAGCGCGCCAGCTGGTTGTCGCCGCCGCCCGTGCCGCCGCCGCCGCCCAGCTCGCCGAAGTTGCCTGCGCGGATAACACAATTATGTTCAATGTACATCACCCACTCTAATCCTAACCATCTATTAAAGTCAAAAATTGATTTCAATTACATCAATATAAGGCACTTTTGACCGCCAAACAAAATAATGTGTCTAAACAAGTTATAGAAATGATAACATTTACATCAAAATTCTAGTAACCAGAAGCGGATTAAACCTACAGAGCGCCCTAGGTTAGCACATCATAGGCGGCCTGAATTTCTTATGGCGTCGCCACCTCTCTAAGGGCACTTGAAGACGCGCGTCTCGCGGCACCTGTCTACAACCTAATGCCCTAAGCACTTGTCTGATTTTCCTTAGAGATAGTACGGCTCTACCAATCACCAACTTACAAGACAAGTAGATTTTTGACCCTGGGAATTTACAAATACACCCTAACAAATATTTTAAAGTAGAATTGACGAACTTAATCATGTAGAATCACTAGTTACTATAGCTATAAAATGAGCTAATTGTCTAAAGTAGTTACGTTCAAATTAACAAAATATTACTTTGAAACAATGATTAGTGTGAACTCACCATTGAGACTCCTCTGATGTGACTGGATGAGCAGCTTGTGAAGGGAAGTGCCGCCAGCCATACCGCGAGCCATATTGTTCATATTGTTGTACTGCAAACAAAAAACAAGGATTAAAATTGAACATCCATAATATATATTGACATAGTTATTATCGTTCGACGTGGAACACCACGGGGGAGACCTTTGTTCAGCAGTTTATTCTAAACATTGCTCCACACTACGATTATCTCCTGTGTCGTGTGTGCGTTTACAAACATACAAGTTCTCATACACATCCCACACAAGCCCCGAACAACAATTTATAGATCACACAAAGAGTTGCTCCGTGCGGGAGTGGAACCCACGACACGTTGCGCGACAGCCGGTTGCTCAGCCACCGCACTAACCGTGCCGTCATTTGTGCCGCAATGGACGTCTTCCGACTATTGTTGAATATGATCATAATTTTGCGTTTCTAAAATTACAATTCTTCTCAATCTTTGATTGCAATTTATTAGTTTAATTACTTTACAAGCAATGAACTGTGTTTAACTATAGTTTCCAAACACAATTTGACACATAGATAACATAAATAATACAAACAAAGAAGTACTTACAGAGTTAGGTACTTGTTGCCTCTGTGGCGGATGTGGGAACGGTCGGACTGAACCAAGCATTTGCTGTAAACAGATATAAAATTTTGTTTTGTATTTATTTCATTACATACATAAGAAAATATTAAAGTAATATTTTTCTATATTTTCAGAATATTCATAGAGCTTGATTCTGCTTGATAATTGCTAGACAGTTTCAAGTTGTAATAAAAAATTGGAATAATTACCTGCTGTTGATTCATATAATGCTGTTGATAATCATTGGGCGTTGCGTAGCCGATCGTCGGCGCATTGCCGCTTTGGTTACCCTGGAACAAGAAACATCATACAATAAAAAATGTCAAACTCCTCATACCATCAATAAACTTATGACTCTTATGAGTTTAACATTATAATAAAACAAGAGAAAGATGGGAATACAAACACTGGGAAGAAACACTGAAATGAGTGCAGAGCTGAAAAGTATTTAAAATCTAGGCACTCGTTAAATAAAATGGGAAAACTATCTGATAGTGGAGGATTAAAGAAGTCACATTGCGCCTACCCCGAGTTACTAAAGGAATGGAAAAATATTTATATCAAGATTTTTGAATATTTACAAAACTTATATTGAAATTTTCATGAGACATACTAAATTAATTAATATGTTTCCTGTTTACTCACATAACTGTTTGACGAGGAACTCGACTAATTTCAAGCCATGCTAGAGCCTCATATTCACGAGCTTACGTTACGTTTGCAAGCCGAAAATATACTAATTAATTTACAAAACATTTTCTAATTATGTCAAACGATATGTTAAAATTACGCGAAAGTTGCGGATTCAAATACCTATTTGTGTTATATTTTAGAAAGCGATACAGTTGCCTGCATGAATAGTAATATAGATTTTTTTACCTTAACTATAGGCCTGCCCTGCGGCACCTTGGGTGGTTGCGTCCACTGTTGCTGCTTCGGACTAGGCGTGTCAGACTCTTTCTCTGCAGTCATTTTACGTAATACCTGCAACAATATACACAACATTATTGTAATAACTGTATTGTATACATCTATATATATAAAGATGAAACCCGTTTCCCGTTGTCACGCCATAACTTGAGAATGGCTGGACCGATTTGGCTGATTTTTTTTTTGTGTTTGTTATTGTCATGAGAAGGTTCTTATAATACACAAAAAATCTTAAAATCTTATGGGAACGGGAGAAAACGCCTACGAAGTCGCGGGTAGAAGCTAGTATATCATAAATACAGCTTCAGTTACCATTCATACATACATAACTTCACGCCCGTCTCCCATGAGTAGGCAGAAACTATGGAACACCAATTGCTACGATTCTTACATACCTCTTTCGCTTCATCAACATTCATCAATCTTTTCATGCATGCTCGTCGGTTAAGGGTACTTTTAATTTGGCCCTTTGATAAAACCAGGTGTGACAAAATGAGATAGGTATATTGTTAATATTTTATCTTGTACAGAAACAAATGTTTGTTACGCAACGAGTCTATAAGGCCGTTAACAAAGGATGACACCTATGTACTGCACCAAGGACTAAAACTAATGAAAAAGGTGTGTAAACAAAGTATGTACTGTTCCAAATCCCAAAATTGCATCTTTTTAAACAATCGTGTAAAAATTCAATTTAATAAAGTATATAAGTGTGTACCGAGGTGGGTGTGAATGATATAGGAGTGGACTGTTTGGGTTGCTGCATCTCCTGCCGCCGGCGGTAGTTCTCGCGCTGCTCCTCCAGCTTCTTCTTGATGAGAGCATTCTGCATTATGGACTGCGTGTGCGCAGCTAACTCGCGCGGCGAAGGAATGCGAGCCGGCACGCCTGCCAGGAAGAGTTCATTCATTAATTTAGTGGAACAAACATTGGGGAATACACAATACAAATAGAAAGTCTCATAAAATGATAAATACACTTCTGAAAATAAACATGAAAATGAACTAAATGAAAATGTATCAAAGTATTACTGGGTTTTTTAAATAATTCTCAGTAGTAGCACGGAGTCTGGATTTGTGCCCGGTATATGGCAATAGGCTCACCCCCTATTACATGGGACTCATAACATAAATAGTGAAAAGTGGGTGTTACATTGTACAGTGGCATAATGTGCACCTCTGCCTACCCCTTCGGGGATAAAAGGCGTGATGTTATGTTATGTCCTAAAATAAAAATATTTAATAGGTTAAGATGAAACATATACTACCTGGATGGTGAACAGAGAGTGTGTTGGGACTGGTGGCCATTATAGGCGACACACAGAACGCTGCGTCCGTACGGGAAATTATACGTTAAAGCGAGGTGATAAGGTACATATTGTTAGTAGATATAACCGGAGTGTTAGTTGCACATAATAAATATATTGACGGTTGCAAGGCTTATAGATCAAGGCTAATAGTAAAATACATGTTCGAAATCTGCTATTCTTTCGTCGTGGTGTAGTTATTTAGCAAAAACACAGAAAATCAATTAGATCAATTAGCCTTTCAACCGTCGCTATGAAGAACTTTTCTATATTGTTAGCAAAACACACATATAGTAAAAATATGATCAAACTTCAGAAGTAACTATTAAATGATTCTAAGTAAACATTGGTAGCACTTCTACTACGTAATATGGTAGTCCTTCACTTAAAAAGATATTTTTTTTAATAATAATACAAAAGATTGTTCTATAATTGAAAGTATTTAGTTACTTGAAGTATCAGTGGCATTGTTAATTATTAGTTATTTTTTAAATATTTTTATGATAAGAGTACACAATTCATGACAACCTGACATAAGTTGGTTGTTTGTTTACCTTGATGAGGTAAGGGCGACAGTCTCAGCGGTTGATGATGAGGTGGAACCACCAGGTGAGGGCCTCCCGGTAACGGGGACTCGCCCATCTGAGGAACAACATATTTAATTATTACATTGATTGACAGGTATTACCATTGGAGCTGAAATCAAATCATTTTTTGTATTTTTGTCAAGAGAACTTTGTAAAAAATAATGAATCAAATAAATATTTATTTATTTATTTATTTATTTATTTCCACTTACATTTATCTTTACAGGTTAATGCCCAATGCGATAAATGTGCTCATCTTAATATCTACCTATAGCATATTACATATAATGCATTCCTTGTGAATTCACCCAGAGTACAACAAAATAGGTCAATTTCATTAGAAATCAGGTTGAGCGTGCGAAGTGCACGCGTCAGCGGCGCTTCCCTTAATAGGTTGGTCCGACCGCGGGGTTCTGCCAGCAGTAGCGGTCGCCGGCGTCGCCATACGTACCTATCCGGAACACATAAATTCAGCTGTCCTAAAATGACTGCATTGTGCAGCTTTCCTCTTAATATTTTAAACAAATGTGAGGTGAGTGCAAAATCCCGTCTTACCCTTAACTCATTGTACCCCACCATGCCTAAAATAAATAATGTGGGATACATCAATGGGTAAAACGGATAGACCCCATAGTACCTCAAATATAAATATCTAATAAATTTATTTTGAATTCTCTCCAGCATGAGACTATATTTAGCTTCATGCGGAGACCAGATGACTGCGTTACATTCTAACTGGCTCCTAACTAGTGCGTTATATAGTGTGATGATGGCTTTTATGTTAGTAAATCCACGGACCGTTCGGAGCATGAAGCCTAAGTTTCTAAAAGCCTTTTTACAACAACCCATGATGTGTTCACGGAATGTCAGACCGGTGTTAAATCTTACTCCCAAATCCTTGACTTCCCCGACTCGCGCCAAAGGCTTCCCCTCAATGTGATAGCTGCCCTCAATAGGATTATGTGCACGCGAAAACGCAATTGTAACACATTTCGAACTATTGAATTGTAGGAGATTTTCTTTACTCCAGCTCACCACTCTATCAATGTCCCTCTGTAACGTGACACAATCCTCCTCAGTTCTTACTGCAAGAGATAATTTGAGATCGTCAGCAAACAACAGACAATAAGCATCTTGGACAACTTCTGGCAAGTCATTTACCACCAGAAGGAAACTCAAAGGTCCAAGATTGCTACCTTGACTCACTCCTGATCTAGTGAAATATGGATCCGACACATGTCCCGCATATTCAACATATTGTTGCCTATCCCTTAAATAGCTGGCAAAAAACTGAAGTGTATGCGGGGTGAAACCAAAGCTAGCGAACTTCGTAAGCAACACGTCATTATCGACAAGGTCGAATGCTTTTCGGAAATCGAAATAAGCAGCATCAGTCTGCCCCCCACCATCCACTGTTGGTATCAAATGAGCCATGTGACAGAGAAGATTACTGGTGGTGCTCCTTCCCGGTCGAAACCCATGCTGAGCATCTGAGAGCTGCGCGCGCACTTGTACATATATGCTCTTATGGATAGCGGTCTCTAATACTTTTGCCGGTGTCGACAATACTGCTACTGGCCGAAACCCATCTACAGATTTTGCAGATACCCCCTTCGGAACCGGAACAACGCGAGTCACTTTCCACCTCTCAGGGAACATGGCAGTTTGCAGACACTGATTATAAATATGAAGCAGTGGCTTTGCTAGCGCTGAACGACAGTCCTTAAAAATATAAGGGGGAATGCCATCAGGCCCTGCGGATCGCTTCGGCTTCAGATCTTGTAGCGCTTGAGACACATCTGCCAGCGTTAATTGGTCAAAGTGTACTCGCGCCGCTCCGTTTCCACTACCTGCTCTTGCTACAGCCGCGTCAACGTCCAGCGCTGGTGGTTCTGCCCTATAAACAGAGTAAAAATACTGCGCAAACTCTTCAACACAACGCTGACCAAACAAAACCTCTCCATCTTTCAAAATCTCCTGCGGTCCCCTCCTACCCCTCTTGGATTTGGTGTAATTCCAAAATGATTTAGGGTCACTAAGCATTTGACTCTGGACACGGTCACGATATTGTTTCTGCGCGACTACCATCATCTTTTTAACGCGAGCCCTACATACAGCAAAAGCATCGTAGTCCACTTTCGACCCACTCGCCTTGTACTGCTTATGCAGAAAAGCCTTTAATTTTATGTCGCGAATTATCTCACTCGTGTACCACTCAGGGTAAATGTACCTTGAGTTAATAAATAAATATTGGTTGATGCCAAAATAGAACCCGTGACATATTGTATTCAATTCTTTCATTCTCCAAGGATACCCACACAATGCCAGTTATGTTTACGAGTACCATGTCATAAGAGGAACTGAGATGACAAAGTCACCATGCAAGTGATGTTAATTGATTTCCTCACGACGTTTGTCTTCATCGTTTGTCAGTGGTGTCTAAATAAGCTTATAAAGTACTTATAACTCGCGGAATAATCGCATTGGTACTTGAAGTTGGTAGGTTTCGAACCTGCACCCATGCATGAGAAGCGGACGTCTTAAGCCTCCAGGCCACCACGGCATCCGTGGACATCGAAAGACTGGTCGAGTGAGTTTACCAAGACCTAAAATTCTCCTAACCAAAGGTCTGGCGTTACCTCGCGAACGAATGCCATGACCGATCACATACCATCCTAACGCATAAAAATAAAAGCAATAATAATAAATAATGAATGCATACCTGTCTCTGGTGTTGGTGCAGTCTTAGTATGGTAAGCAATACTTCACGGTGCCGACTCTGAAGACCTGGGTTACTCAGCTGCTGCATTAAGTGCTGGGCCGTAATCTCACCCGTTTTCAGACCTGACAAGAAACAGAAGCCATCCGTTAACATTATTGTAAACTTGTACCCTGAGTGCCAAGCACGAATAACTATCGCATTCGTAATGTAATAGGGTAGTTGCCAAGGAATAAAAATTAAAAATCTAATTAGTCCGTCAGTTAGATAATGAAAAAATATTATATACGTATTTTTTTATTTTCTCGTATAAAGTTACAATACTTAGATAAAATAGAGTTAAGTTCAGGAGTGGGAGGTCCTTACGATATTACAGATTAATATATTGTCGAAAGTATTTAATTTTGTGAGAACAGATAATACGCGTCTAATGTTTTTAATTAATCTACCAGACGGACATTGCAATAAAATTTAGGCAACTAGCCTATTGTATCGAGCGCGTTCGGCGCTCTGATTGGTTGATTCTCTGGAGCCGGCCAATCAGAGCGCCGAACGCGCTCTCGTATCTTATTTTAACATTTTAAATAGAAATAAAGTACTCTGAAAAAAAATGTTTGCCCTGTCCACAATATAATAAATAATTATAATACCTACTATTACATACGTACTTAAGTAATAACAAAATTGATATTATTCAATGAAAATCATGTAGAAATGTCACAATTAACTCAAAAACTTCAACAATATGGAACGATCTTGTTCTGGTATCTACATGACCATTCTTAAAGATGAGCTTCCGTAGCAAATGCAAATCTAGACGTGTCATCGCAACGCAACAATGCAACCTGTTATCTTAATAATTGGGTACTTTCCTTAATCAAAAATAAATTATTTCGACTGTTCAATACAACAAAATATTAAAAAATAATCACACTTTCATTAATTGATTTTATGACCAACTTAATTTTAGTATTTTACCAGCAATTTTTTTAAGAAATGAAACAAGTATGAGTCTCCTACAAAATTCATAGAAAACTATCGTTTTTGGCAGTTCGAAAAAAGTATTGAATTTGACTAGTTGGCAAGTATTCAATTATGAAATACTTATTATAGGAGGACGTCCACTGCATCCATCAGTAGACATATCAACCCTTTGAAGTAAACTAAACACAAAGCCACCCCACTTCAATCAATTGATGTCATTCAACACATGTATACTAGCTATAAGCTATAACCAGTAACCCTTTGAAGTACAAAGCCACCACTTACAATCAATTGATCAGGCTTGTCAATCAACATTACTACCTACATAATATATACATACGTACATACATAGTACAAAGAGAAACGCAGTCAAAACATAGCCACAAGTGGGCGGAGTCTCCCGGATTACGTCCGGTATCGAGTCGCTGCATCGATCGGACTATATGTAGGTACCTATTTATGAGTACTGTAATACTGTATAGAGTCACAAGGTATATTGAATGTTTGTATAAATAAACGGATATATTTCAATTCCGATACAATGTTACCAATTTAATAAATTAATGCATGAAGCTGTGCGGTATATGATGTAGGTACCACAAGAGTTATGCTTTGGTTTTCTAGTACAGAGCTAAATTATTGCAACAAAAATTAAGGTCCATAATCTGCAATAACTACGTAATAATAAAAAGAATGGTCCAATAGATTACTAAAGAAACACAAAACAACGACAAGGTAAACATAAAACTAGTAAAATATCTAAATACAAACTCAGTTTGCACAAAGGTGTATTGAAACACCAAATCTGAACATAGGAAAAACCTAAAAATAATATCTCATGCAGACAACATCAATAATAAACAATAGACAAATATTTTTAAGGCAATTCAAACCCTAAGCTTGTCAGTAAATATTTTTTATATACATACTATCGTAAAAGTCTGACCGTCGCGTGCAATCCCCAGGGATTTCAACTTCGGGTGTTGTCGGAAGCGTTCGAGAGTTGCATACACCTGCTTCTTTTTTAAAGGACTACCTAATATAGAGCTGTTGATAGCTTCCATATTTTTCTCAAACATCGAGATTTACAACTCTGTATGAATCTTAGTTCCGTATCGTCATAGAATAGATAAATCTAGAGTGCTAAAATCCTGTAGCTCTATATTTTGAAATACGCGGGAAATCTGACATATGGATGACGTTTGCATGCCGCCATCGAAGATCAAGTTACTGGTTGAAAAAAATATTGTGAAGTGTTTTTATTTGTACAAAGTTATGAAAATTTATGTTTTAAAGAAAAGAAAATGTTGTAAATAAAAGCTTAAAAGCACTATAATCTTTCCAATCGCATGGCGGGGAGTAAAATGAGAGGCTTTTGTTCGTCAGTGTGTCTTTCTGACTGATTATAATGAAAGCTTTTGTGTTCTTGTGTAGTGATCGACAAGTTGTGTGACCGGATATTGTTGTAACTTGATTGATATTTTAAAAAAGGATGATTCATCATAACTTTTAAATATATTTAGCAAATGGTTGATATATGCTAAAAAGAGAAAGAAAGTCCTTGCCGGAGATTTTGTTCAACAGTTAATGTCTTGTTACTGATATGATGATACTGGTGCTGTAGTGTCTTGTATATGAAATGAAATGACGAAATGATGTATTAAAAATACACACCAACACACTATCACAAACATTCGCATATATAATAATAGTAAGATGTACGAGTGTATACGCACCCCTCACGATGGCCTGTGCCTCGGGCCGCTGCAGCAGGTCCCTGTCAGCGGGCGCCATGCCGGCCAGCTCCGCGCTCACGGCCGCCGCCGCCGCCGCCTGTTGCTGCTGGTGTTGCTGGGAGGGAAAACAAAGACACACATTTTAATACATTGTTTGCCCATCATCCAAACAGTTTATATTAGCCGGCGAATCAGACCACCGAACGTGGTCCCGTTTCGATTACTTTAAATGTAAGACTCCCAAAATAATCCCTCTGTTAACGTAATGTTCCTACATCGAAAGCGACAAATGATACGTGTATAAGACCTCGGTTTATGGAGACACGGGTAACAATTTTTATGTTTGTAATTGTACAAGCGATGATGCGGTTTCAAAGCTGGCACAGCATTAAACTGACGTTCACGATACAAGTGAAACAAGTGAATTTATTTCTGCAAATAGGCTACAAGGCAGCACTTTTACACGTCAATTTTATCAAGCGAACGATAAGGTTGAAAGATGGGTACCAGATGCACGGAAACGGACAAGTGTGCTGCGAAGGATCCTCAGAGTAAATGATCGTAAAGCGAACATTGTAACTCCCATAATCGTACTCTTCAATACATGTTACGAAATATGTTATCCACACGTTTCTAAAAGCACTATTGCCGGCAACTATGAATGAGTGAGCAGTACCTGCACCTGCAGCAGTTTGTACAGCAGCTCCTGCGGTATGTGCGGCGGCTGGTGCTGCGCCGCCGCCTGCTGCTGCTGCTGCTGCTCCATGCTCTTGTTCAGCATCTGTACCAATAACGTGCCCACATGCCAATATACAACTTGTGTCTATCTCTATCTACTATCTGTGCGCCTAAATAAAATAACATACACATTATTCGAATCTAATGGAATTCAAATTATATCGAAGTTTACGTCAAGCAATCATTACCTTCGACAGTTTGACTGACGTTTATCCCATCTCACTAAAGTAATACCCAACTCCAGTAGAAACATTTTCTTACACCCGAATATACGAACGCTACTTAATTTTAAGTCGCGCTTAAGTATAGTTTTGTTGCTACAGATAGGGTAGTTGCCTAAAACATTAGACACGTAGGTAATTTTTCTTGTCTCACAAAATTAAATACTTTCGACGATGTAATAATTTGAAACATCGTGTGACGTCACAATGCGCTACATTTTGTAGCATTTAGTGAAGTAACGACCGACTCCTAAACTTAACTTTATACGAGAAAATAAAAAAATCCGTGTCTAATATCTTTTCACTATCTACCTGACGGACTAATTAGATTTTTAATTTTCATTCCCTGGCAACTACCCTATTCTTTGCAAAATGACAGAGATGGCTCGATATTAAGGTAAAGCTTAATATTGGGTAGCTTTTCAGTATTCGGGCGATAAGAACGTAATGAAACCGCTTTTGACGGACGCTATTAGAATAGTACATTAAGAGTAACACCAAGATGCATAGTATAGCTAGACGGCAAATATTAACGTCAACATTACGTGTGGCAAAATTGAATATGAGTCGCTTTATGGTGCCCACAAAACATAAACTGGACTTTTTGACTAGGCGTACTTTATTGTCATTATTTAGGATATGGTAGAACTGTAATCACTACATAGTATATATAAAACAAAAGTCGCAATCCGCCGTCTGTCTGTCCCTATGTATGCTTAGATCTTTAAAACTACGCAGCGGATTTTGATGCGGTTTTTTAATAGATAGAATGATTCTTAAGGAAAGTTTATATGTATAATACATGCATATTGCACCCGTGCGAAGCCGGAGCGGGTCGCTAGTATGATTATAATAAGTGGTATAGTTTACCTGTAACAAGCTCATGGGTTGTGGCGGGGGCTGGGGACGCGGGGGTTCAGGCGCCGCCGCTACTGCGTGCCCGCCCGACACCTGCGCCAGCTGAGGGCCATCAAAGGTTCATTTACAACACCATAACTTATGTCTTATACCTAAGGTCTACACATCACGTCACTTGACATAACATTAGAATACCTATAATACTGTTTCCATTAGTAATCAAAATAGATATGAATGGCAAAAGATCAAGAAAAAGATTCTATTAGTAAATTAACTAATCATACGGTTATAGTCTATTTATTCTATTTCGAGGACGCTAAATTAGTTTGGAATACAGCTTCAACAAAAATAGTTGGCTGCGTGAGGTTATCGCGTTCGTGATTAAGGGCTCCAGTATAGCTCGAAACTTGTTGGGCTACCGTGAAAGAGAAGACTTGTTTACTACAACGTGTGTTAGCTTAGTAAATGATGGTTTAAAGACTTATAAATAAATAGAAATATTTGATACGTACAAGTCGTTTGAAAGCGGTGAGATCATGCTCCGGTACATGATGCTGCGGCATAGAGTGCTGTGAGTGCTGGGAGTGTTGGGAGTGTGAGTGCTGGGGCCTCAGCCGCGCCTCCAGCTCCTCCAGGCTGTGCATCTTGCCACCTACTTGTTGGGCTTCTGCACAAAACGAAAATTACATTACAATTGGTCATAAGAAAATACTCACGCCCGAATACTATGTGACAGTATAATTCTGTCACTACAAATTTTTTGCATAATGATAGAGATGACACGATATGTAAGTACAACTTAGATATGAGTAGCCTTTCAGTATTCGGGAGTTAAACATCTGATTTGTTTTTTAAACTTTGGAACCTTTTATACTGTGATCTTCAAAGCCAGGACATTATACCAAAACATTATACAGATATGGCTTATAATCTAACAGGGGACTGTCACGGGCTACTAATGAGAACTGTTCATAGAAACGAGGTAACAAAGTTTTACTTCTTCTTTTCTTAATGACACCATGAATATTAGACTTTAATTAAACCTTGTAAGATATACAGTATAACTCGATAACTGCTGGTTAGATTTTAACGATTCTTTGTTTGTACAATAGATTCCTTTTCCAAAATACAAACTTTTTAAATACAATTATATCATTACAAAAGCTACAAATATCGTACCAGGTCTCGCATCGTGCGCAGTGTTAGCGTTGGCTCGGAGTAAGAGATCAAACAGCGAGGGGTTCTGTGGTCTGCCGGCCGGGGATATTGGAGCGAACACGTGGGCCTCGCCGCCGCCCAGCGCTGGACTAGGCTCGCTGCGACCGTTGTCCAGGTCTATGGAGCAATAGGAGATGTTGCTATGGTATATTTCAGTCATAATTATAAAAAATGCATTGTGTTATAAACTAACACAAAGCATTAAATAATAAACACATTACAGATAGTATTTTAAAAATGTATAAAGTGAAACAATGATCCACTATTCAGAACATTAATTTCTTTAAATATTTTGGGTTTTAAAATATCAAATTGGTTCGGACTTCGTATATGAATTTTTGGCACTTCTTTTCATTATATGAGATCTGAACTTCAACAGCCAGTTTCAAAAACCTGTCTGTCAGTAGAAAAATTTCAAAACTTCCTCGTCTATAGCCAAATCTATCGAAGGATAGGTTTTTGAACTGCCCATGAACCAAGCCAGTTTTTAATTAACTCTTGAAGATAATATAAATAATGATATCATACCGTCGACCATATTATGCAAGAGTCGCTCGTAATGCTTGGCATCGTTGGTGGGACTCTCGCGTCGGAACCAGCGACTGAACCTACTGCCGCCCTCCGTCTCGCCGCCGCCGTTCTGGAAACAGTATACTCGTATCAACTAAGATTTCTAGGAGAAATCCTCCACATTCCACACATCGTGCACAAAGAAATATAATATTTTTTATGGAATAAGTACCATCATTATGTGGTCTTCCACTTTCCCACGCCTTGATTTCAGTTCTTTAATTTTTTAATCAGAGGGCTACAAGCAGTAACGTTTCGATCGCATTCATTTAAAAATGAATTCGCACTAGGCTCTTAGTATGTATAAAATAAAAACGTATATGATTATGTATGTGCTTACAGTAAGTACGTCGGGTATGGTATCGAACTTGAGGAACTCGTCCAGGTTGAACTCCTGCTGATCGCTGTTCTGCACCGTCTCCTCACTCTTCGACTCCACTCCAGAATCCTTATCCTAAGGAAACAAAGAATTTCATTAATCAGTGAAACATGGAAAAAAAGGACAAGACAAGAGAGTGAAAAGACTTCTTCTAAAAATATTTTAACTTTGAATTATTAATTGACACATAAAATCACGCCTTTTATCCCCGAAGGGGTAGGCAGAGCTGTACATTACGGCACTCAATGCCACTGTACAATGTAACACCCACTTTTCACTATTTATGTTATGAGTCCCATGTAATAGGGGGTGAGCCAACTGCCATACACCGGGCACAATTCCAGACCCTGTGCTACTGCGGAGCAATTAAATAAAAACCAGTAGTACCTTGCCCGACCCGGGAATTGCCCCCGAGATCCCTTGACCGGTAGTCGCACTTGCGACCACACGGCCAACGAGACAGGATTAATTGACTGATGATGATTCTAAATCTTTACATTGATCTAGGTTTATATCAATCAGATAGAGCTTATGTTAAACATCAATTTAAATATTTTAGATTAGTTATTTATTTCGGCCATAAGAATACGATTATAAGTCTATCGTTTATTCTACAGACGGATAGGCAGATTAGACAGGCTACTAGCTTTGAATAAATAGAGTATAATATAATCATACATTGCTGGAGTTGGTGGAGTCGTTGGCAGGCTGCGTGACGGGCGACGTCTCCCGCCAGCGCTCCGTGGCCGGCGACCGCGCGCCGCCACTGTTGTTCCACTTCTACCACAAACACACACCGGATTTAGTACAGACACAATTATTTTCTATTAACTTTTATCATGAAAAGTTTATAAAAATCTGCCACATTCGCGTGACACTCGTGAAATTTCTGGGAGATTGGCGAATAGATTTTACATACTTGATGGCAGACTGAAGCAAAATTTATCAGATATAAGAGTTTAATTAAATCGCTTTTGACAAATATAATTATTGAAAAAAAGTAAATTTAGAGCAATACCACGACGCATGGTATAAATAATGAAAGTAATATATAATTACCTCAGTCTCTTTATTGTTCGCGTTGCCGTTCTTCTTGGGCGGATCGTCGAAACCGCGGAGCTCGATCGTTTCCAGTTGAGATGTTGGCCCTCCACTAAACCTAAAATATCAAGAAATAATTGGATTGAAATATGTATACTTTACACTCAATGATTTTTAACATACAAATCAAAGAATAATCTTACCATTCGGGTTCATCTTCCTTCTCAAGGCGTCGTTGAGAGAAGCGACCACCAGATCTACGGTTGTCCTCTCTGCAAATTAAAATTATATTGTAACTATCAGCAATTCATAACAACTTATTATTACACTAGTTTGTTTCACTTCGAAAGATTATTAAAATGGGTTTATCATAGAATATTTCGATTTCAGATAAGATTACATTAACAAAACATTTGCTGATTTTATCGACAAACACATAGAATTTAATTTAATTTTATGTTGAAATCCAACAAGTTACATTATTCTTATATCAAAGTAATTATTGCTGAGAACATGATGTGTAAAATATTAAGGCAACTGAGCAACATGTATGGAGTTTGATTGCTTCACGAAATAATTGTGTATGTTGCCCTCAAACTATAATGTGTGTTCTGTGAATGTTGTTGTATGTGTAAGTATATGTATACCTGTCTCGCATCTTCTCGTTGATGAATCGATCCTCCCGTTCCCTCTTGATGTCAGAGGAGTAGGAGTCTCTACCGAACGAGCGCCGTTCGAACCTGGACAAATAAAATCAAATATTAATATTAATTTTCTATATTATAAAGAGCCAAGAGCTGAAGCTATCGAACCAAATAAAAATGTCAATCAAAATCAGACCATGTCCATGACCAATGTATAGTTTTTTGAATTAATTCTTATTCCAATAAATTATTTCGTATGCAAGACTACTTCGAGTAGTGTATGAGTACAAGTGCTTAATACTTTATTTGTAACAAAGCTGCTAGTGACTTCACCCGGTGTGCTAGGATAAAAAGGACTCTATTCCAAACAATAATCTATCTCTGTAACAAATTTCATACAGATCCCTTCAGTCGTTTTGACGTGATTGAGTTACAAACATACACATAAACACACTTACAAACACTCCGCAATCATAATATTAGTGAAATAGTAGGATTTTGAATTGTAAAAATGTCGTCGAGAGCATACAACGCACGCGTAATCTCAATACGTGCATCACCTGTTATCCGACACCTTGTTCTAGGCCTTAAAATATAAAATATTTGTAATATTTTATTGCAATATTCCCAATATTCTGATTGATGCAAAACATTGGGGGTTAGCGGCCATAAATCGACAGTGGCGACATCCATACCACAATAAGCTGTGAAAAAATTATACTTTAGGTCCATCTTTTCTTAAACAGTTTTTTCAAAACTGCTCGATTACTTTTCAGCCACACACACCGAAACTTGATTTCACAGATTTCTCAAACATGATTAAATTTACCTTTCGTTGTTAGGCCTGGTGTGTTCCCGTTCACGTTCGCGCTCACGTTCCCTCTCGCGCGGAGGGCGGTAGGGCTCTGCCCCGCCTCGGTAATCTCCCTCCTCCCACGCGTTGTTGGGCACGTCGCGCACCATGATGCGACCAGAGCCGATGCGACGACCTCCTGCATTCAAATAAACATAATTATGATTACTTGCGAAAAAGTCAGAAGATAAATGATTTCTCCTCTCCCTTTCCCTTCAGTAGTATTTTGTATAGTGGGCGGCAAGCGAGAACGGATCACTCAACGGCATGGTAATAGGTGTTGCCCATGGACACTCGCCACACCAGAGGTATAAGGGTATTACCGTCATCTTGAAACTGAGGTATGGGGATTGAGGATTTGAGGATGGATGGAATGGAAATCCAGTCATTTCACTCAAACACTGTAAAAAAATGTTTGTCTTCTGTAAGTATAGAATTTTATAGAGTCAGTTGGTTCCAGCTTACCTTGTTCAGGCTTGGCAGGATGCTGCGGTTGATGCGGCGCGGCGGCGGGCGCCGGGGCCGCCAGCGGAGACTCCGGGCGGGTGCGCGCCAGGTGCGGGGGCGGCGCCGCTGGGGCCGCGGCCGCCGGTGCCCCGCAGCCCGACGTGAAGCTGCGCCGCTGCGGTGACAGCACGATACCTCCGCCACTCGGCTCGCTCTCCTTCCGCACCCGCTCGCGAGGGTCCGCTGATCTACGTTCGCGGTCCCGGTCACGCCCATATACACCCTGATACGGAAATAAGACCAAATTAGACATAGATAGTTACGTTTTTAAAATTAATCTAATTTAAAGCCACGCTAGAAAAAGGTTGAAAATAATGTGAGAAAAATTGAGGCTACCTTAGCATTTACCTTATGGTTCTCATTGGGTGCATCGCCTCTCGCGCCTCGGTCTTCCTCATTCGGTGAATCAGAACGTCTCTTCAGCACACTGTAAAAATAGAAAATAGTTTTTTTTTATTGCTAGCTTCGCCCGCTAAATTCACAAAATAAAAACTACGCCATACGTTATTCCAGACTATAATCTATCTATGTATCATCCAAATCTGTCCAGTATATTTTCGTGAAAAAGTACCAAACACACAAATATCAAACAAAAAAGAAACATCAACTCACAGCGCAAGCGCCTCGCATCCAGCGAACGCGTTCTCCAGGTTCCGCTTGACGAGCGGCGAGTTCCTCAGCCGCATGAGTTGGTCGCGCGAGTACTGGAGCGGCTTGCGCGCCGGCCCCACCGCCAGCACGGCCGGGTCGCCGCCGCCGCCGCACGACACGCTATTGTCCTCACCTGGAATATAACAAAACATAATCATAAATATCATAAAAAAAAAAAATGAAAAATACTTATTCTCTAACCCTGCATAGTAAGTAAGTTATGCCAGTTTTCACTAAATTATAAATTTTAAGGAACTCTTAGCTAAAATAGTTGGTGGTTAATATCAATTAAGTGTGTCATTTATTAAGTAAGGGGTTAGTCTAGCTGCTTCGTCACACTAAGTAACTTTTATTTAAAGAGACGGTTTTAGGGCTGGTTGGCACGGAGCCGCGGAGAACTTAACGTGTTACCGGGGCTCCGGCTCGAAGTGCAGGAGTAGGAACGGGGTGGATTTTAGTCAGTAAGAGTCTGACACTTCCTCCCGCCTTACCCAGGTGGGTGAAGTCATTCGATGATTTTCCCTCCTTAAAAAAATGGTCTATAAAGTTATATGTTCCATAATCCATAATGTGTACCTTGATATAAGAAAAGCAAGCGTCTACTAAATGAATAACAACCCCAGTTTTGCACTAAATTACTCAATAATAACATTGTCAGCTGACACACCACAGATAACTGCAATACCGTCAAAATTTTTGCCACATTATAGACGCATAGTGCATAGTTGCATCTTAAAAATTTTAATCATTTCATCTATGATGAATGATGATACACACACACACCACACACACACACACGTGCGCAAACACAGACACACACCATATGTAATTTATGTATCATATTGTATGTTATACACTATTTTTTTGTTAATATTGTCCTGTAATGCGATTGTGTGGTGTACTATAAAGCATGTATTATTATTTTTAACGTTAGAAAGTTAAAGGTAGAAGTTTTTTTTTGTATTCTTTACTTTGTTATCAAACAACAATCGCGTTAATATCGTCTAATTTAAATAACAAACATTTAACACGTGTTGAACTGCTAGTAATGTCAATGAACTTTGTTGAGTATGTACAATATGTACACACATATTTGTTATACTAGGATTCAAACAAAAATAAACTGTGAATTGAATAAGTTAAAGTATCTTTTTTAAGACTTTTAAGACATCCTGTTTTTTAGTCTCTTTGTTGTCAATGCAACTAATTATAAGGTAAAATAATTTTGTTTGAAAAACACAAAGAATTATTATGTTTAAAGATACTGAAAATATCAGAAGAAATACCTGGACCAATTACTCTTTGTATAAGAGTTATATTTGACCGGGACACCATGGCGGCGCAACCAGTTGCCGGTCGTATAATACAGCTTAGCCAGTTACTCACCTGGTGTCCGCTTGGTTGCGGAATCAGCTTTTACATTTTATTGGTAGCGGTGACTGGCTGAGCCGCCATTCTGTCCCGGTCAAATATAGACCTAACAGTCTCACGGTACATACACCCCTTATTACATAGAACTATAACCACATAATAACATAGCAGACAGCTATCAAAATGTATAATTATTAACTATCTTTCTTTACCCTCATTGGCAAGTGCGACTGCCGGGCAAGGGGTCTCGGTTTCGATTCCAGGGTCGGGCAAAGTATTACTGGGTTGTTCAAAAAAATTCACAGTAGTAGCACGGATTCCGGAATGTACCCGGTGTATGGCAATACCTCCCCCCCTCCCTATTACATGGGACTCATAACATAAATAGTGAAAAGTGGATGTTACATTGTACAATGGCATAATGTACACCTCTGCCAACCCCTTTTGGGGATAAAAGGCGTGATGTTATGTTATGTTATGCTTTCTTTACCCATCTTGTTAACTTGTTATACTAAACAGGTGTTTAGTCACACACAAGCCTGTCGCACGCTTTTACATAGATTACATATGTGTACACAATGGTAAATAATGGATAACAAAGTTGCAAAGTAAATACTTTCACAAAACTATTTGTATATGTCGTAGGATAATTTGATACTTCGAATCTTCGCGGAAATCCTAGGGGTTTTGCGAAAACGCGGATAATTAGACATAGGCGAAAAATTATCAAATTCTACTGGACAAAGTCAGGATTTTTGCGAAAATACTCATTACTATCATCAAATGTTATTTACATTTTAATATACAGATAAATAAACGGCAACAAACGAATGTCAGTTTAATAACTCTGCAATCGCATTTGGGCGATTTCACTGAGTCTCAGTAATGAATCATCCGTGTTAATGTGTACCGAGTGTCTCCCACAAAAATATATTTATTTGTAAAATAGACATTCTACCGAGTACCGACCTACTTATACCTGGCGCGATTCATAGGTAAATATTTTGCGCGACTTCTTTTCATACTTTCTCGTCAAATCTTGATAAAAAATCAGATAACGTAAGATTTAGGGTTTAATGTCAGAATAAAATCTTACTAATAATTAGAAATACATAAGTTTGAGTGTTTGTTTGTTATTCAATTACGTCAAAACATCTGAAAGGGGCGGGATAGATAATGATCTAGAATAAAACAGACTACTTTTATCCTATGTTTTTATAATAACTATTGTGAGACATACTAAATTAACTGTATCTGCTGTAGATCCTGGCTTACAGGAGTTGCAGCGGCTAGGGATGCCTGTGGCGAACTTGCCCAAAAAAAAAAACTACATTAACAGTTATTCACGTGAAAATACCTCAGCATTTACACGTAAATATTTTCTCAAAAAGCTCTACTAGTTTCGTGCCACAGAGGGACTATCATGAGCAGCGTGCGCGGTCGAGGTTGCGCAGCCTACTCTTTTTATATTGTGTTGTGATTCACTTTTTATCCAACTACGGGAACCCGTGTGAAACCGCTACCGCTAGCAGAAGCTGATATAAAATATACCGTACCTAGAGTTCAAACTACATTTTCATCCAATTCCTGCCCACCCTTCTACAAAACTGCGCAAGAACTTTAATGATGAAATTCCAGAGATAAAGTAAAAGTTTGGGCAGCGGCCAGTACCTGACATAGCGACCTATACTCAAATAGACAACAATGCTTTATAATTAGCACGGTCGCTAAGCATAGGTACATTTTGCTGCACGTAAATATAAACTTTCTTATGCAATATTTGTAATGAGCGTCGCTAATATAAGTACGAGTATGACTCAAGGTTTTAATTACTAGAAGTTCATAATCTCGAAGCGTTTCAAATCGTCCTAGATTTTGTACTAGACACGAAAAGTCATGAAACTCTTAGTTGGAAGTGTGGAAAAGTTTTGGTTGGTGCGTTGACCCGAGTCACCGAAATATGACAACAACATTACTTGTTATGCATTGAATAATGTATATTGACTATATCGAGTAAGGTACAGGAATAGTAACGTGGTAACACAAATGCTGTGAGACGTCGTTTTCCTTTGGCTTTTGACGAGATTAATGTAAGCAAAAATCGAAGTTAGGACGTGAGTATCTTGCACCTACAACTCTAAATACACTCTTGGATTCCACATAAATACTGCCGTTAACTGCATACTCGGAAGTTATTGCAAATTCACTCATTTAAAATCTGTACAATTCCATTGCAGATCTAAAAAATTAATGCCATGTGGGTATCTCTAAAAATATTATACGGAAAATAGTGAATACTGTGCTTTCAACACGGGATTTAACTCAACCATTTAATTAAACGATTAAATGAAATACTCAATTCATTTTCAAAACAACTTCAAAAACATCAAAACTTAAAATTTGCAATCACCTTATCGACTCAAGATATGTAAAACAAAACAATGACTAATAAAAAATGATTACGACATTTTTTGCAAATACGAAGCGTGGTCCAATGATTAGCCAAGTCGGCAATAATATGGTAGGTTATCGTACCGGCCAAATGACCGCTGCTTTCACACGAGGCGGGATGTTCGCATCCGAGCGTGTGTGGAGCGTGCCACGCCATCACATTGATACAACCCTACATCGTAACCATTGCTATTACAGCACTATTTGGATTATTTGACGATTTATTAAACCTTGTTGGATGTGAATGTTGGAAAATTGAAATGAACAAAACGTCACTTACGCCACGACACACGTTTCACTCTCTTAGATGGCGGTCCGTGAGGAGCAGGTGGTCCGGCGTGAACCTTTGGTGGCAGCTGCGCGGGAATCTTCCTCATTGCACTTTGGTACTTCAGCAGGAATGCATGCACAGCGCACTTGGCCGGAGAACCTAACTTCTCAGGGATAGTTGTGGCGATTGCGGCAGCGGTTATGGTCTGGCTCGAAGCCTTTCTCGCTCGTCTCTTGGCAGCCCGGCTGCCGGCTCGGCTACCGGCTCTACGTCCCCTACGACGGCTTTTCTTCGAAACCTCAACCACCGGTGGCTGTGCCTCTTTACTAACCATAGCGCCCAACACGCGTGTGTGACGCGACACAACAAAATGGCGTCGTAAAAATAATTAACCTAACTAAAACTAAATCTAACAATAAAATTAATGTAATTAACGATTGTAAACAATAAAATTAACATACAAAACACTAAACATACACCTAAATGCACTAAACCTAGGGATTTGTCAAAGAAACGGTTGCGTGGATCGCGGGGTCATCTACGTATAACCGACGTAGTATTATTTCTTACTGATGGAGAATATGACTATATACTCCTACCGACAAGAAGGATAACACGAATAACAAGGACATCAGACGAGAGAAAAGGCGGAATAACTATGATTTTCCGGAAACTATAGTGAACGACACGGAGCGCAAGAACACGTCTCAAAGACTAACTTGAATCAGTAGCAGCCAAGCGGCCTAAATTATACTACCCTCAATATTTCACATTTGCGCCACTATCGTTTCGCGTGACGGAAACCTACCCTTCATCGTGTTGATAAAATGAGTTCTAGAACTTTTGTTTAAGAATCAAGAACAAAGATGTTAAACCTATGTTAATAACAACATTCACCAAGTATCCTATGTTTGAAGTGTTATTATAATACCTCGTTCTACACGTATTTTTTAAACTATGAAGGCAACTTTACTGAATTTCGATACATTCACTTTTGTGTTCGTATGGATATTAGGTTCAGGCATCAAAATATCCTGCAGAGCGAGCGTCTGCAATGCGGTTGTGCACACAGATGTACGTTTACGGAAACAATAAGGTTTGTGAATACGGTAATAGTCAAAGATTTTACTGCAGGCAAAATATCGTCACAATCATAACTATAGAGATATAGGTCGACTGCCATTCCTGGCATCTAAGATAAAAATTGGCATCTGGTATTTTATTATTAGGTATATTCGGTTGTATTGTACTCCATTTTTAAATATTTGATGTGTACAATTTACATACATACAACACTTTTTTTTAAGGAGGGATAATCATCGAATGATTGCTCCCGCCTAGGGTAAGGCGGGAGGGAGTGTCAGACTCTTACTGATTAAAAACCACCCCGTTCCTTCTCCTGCACGTCGAGCCGGAGCCCCGGTTACCCGTTAGGTTCTCCGCGACATACAACGCTACAAACCACTTGTATTATCAGTTATGACTAAAATGGTGATTTAATCTGTGAATAAAGGTCCTTTTTCTTTAAATCTCGTATCTTAAATATTGTTGGATCCATGATTCTCCGAACTTTTACACAGAAGCCATAGAACTATTTAATAAAAGCAGAATCGCTTCTGTAAATGCGTTCCGTAAATATTATTCTATATAGGTACGTATATGTATATAAATAATATTGATAAGGTTATCAACGAAAGCGTGAAGATAAGTCACTGATTTTGATATTACGTATTCTGTTTTTGTAGATGCACATTATTATTTAAGAAGTTGAACAACATGCAATTTACATGCGATTTTAGGCCCTGTTTATAATAGCGGATCGAAGTGAAACTATATTATCACTATCACGCAGTATGTACACAAGAATGTAAAAAAACGGATATTACTTTAATCGAAGCGGAAATATTCGAATTCTAATCAAAATTATCGATTAAACTGACTAATAATACCTACATTTCGTGTTCTTATTTGTATTATTAAAACGTTTAGCTAACCGTTGCATATTTAAATCGTGTTGTGCACAATCAGGGCGAATGGTCTGAATGAATGACCTTGATCCTCCCTGCGATATTAAACCCCTGCACGCAAATGCTAAGGGCTGCCGAAGGGATCGCGTTACGCAATCACTTTCATACGAACTTATGGAATATGCACGAGGACTTATACGAATAATTTCGTAGCTGTTTCAAAATAAAGGATAGGAAGTGACTGAGCTAAACAGGGATCTTTATTAGCCTTAAATTTTAAAAAGAACATCATCTTTTAGCTATCCATATTTGTAAGGAATAGTTCATAAATGTTTCTGTTACCAGAAAATTAGCCTATTTAACATGTTGTGACAAAATAGAAAACTTATTCAGATTTCGATTAAACTTTTGCAAACCCAATAGTAGCTATTTGTATTCGTGTCTGATAACTGAAATCACGCTGCGCGGTGATCGAGCTTGTTAAAATGTAACTCAAGTTAACGTTATTGGCCAAACTTTGCCAATAAATACACAAGGAGTTCTAACTTCCATATCGATTAGGAAAGAATTAAAGAAAATTATATGGGCAATGTAAATAGATGCCAAAAACTAGAGGTTTGCCATAATCTCCCCATTTGGAAATTGGAAGGCGGGTTAAGATCGCTGTTTAAAAGGTTCAGGGTATCAGAAAACGCGTTACAACGTTTCTGTCAACTGTTCTGAGTCCCTTAGTCGTCTGTTACGACACGCAAGAAGAGAAGATGAGGTGAAAAATCTATCCTGCCGTCTCTTAAAAAGTAAGAAAGGATTAACAAAAACATGTTTGATTTTCTTTTGACGAGTTATAAACCTGTCTAAGTACGTACTATCTACATCGATATGATGTCTTGTGTATGTATAATTAATCAGTATACAGGACTATGATAACGGAACTTTAGCGCGGAGGTTTATTTTTTATAATCTGCAAGATAGAACTAACTTGTTTTTTTAGTAAGTCCCGTTAGTCATGAATAGAATTTGTTAACGTGTAATAGTACCTAGAAACAGCCCGTTGTGGCAACAATGTTATAGCATTGGGCAAAATATTCAGTCTGTCCTCCTCTAAGTGCAGTCATTGTATTTCAAATTGTACAAAAGTAACGATATATTTTTATCCCTGTTAATTTAGATTGCAGATTTTAAACCGATTATACCGCTGGGACTAGCATTTACATTTACGGTCCTTAGCTAGAATCAGGAATAGTTCTTAATAACTTAAGGGTGTGTTTCACAACGCCCGATTAAATTCCTGAAAGTGTAACTATGGAAAAATGGACAATATTACGTTTAGTCTATAATTATAACAATGGTAAAACAGGCCCTAAATCTATCACATCAGCAGACCAAGCATTCGAGTGCAACGAGTCACTCAACAATGATTCATCGGTTTAAAAAAACAAGATTCCAAATAGCATCGTCAAATTCGCGAGCAAAATATCTTTCTGGAAAAATTCAATGCCAATATGAAAAGAAGGGGACTGCGTTTTTTACGTTGGCACATGAGCCGCGCGGTGTAACTGTGTGGTCGGTTGTCGTATTGTTTATGTGCGAAATGCAACACAAGCGAGTTTGTAAGGCATGATAAACACATTGTGTCAACGGTCTATAACTCCTTCACCTCACTGTAATAACAGGGCTATAAATAATTTGCAATAACATGGCCATTTCAACTTGTAAAGGGCGTGTTTACTTGACTGAAGTACGTAGGTAGACACACAATAATTTGTTGTAAAGTTCGTTTCTTCAGGGCATTTACGTGGGTAAACGTAAATATTCGGGACTAGGTATTTGGTCATATCGTACCAGTTGTATCATGATTAAATGCGTGAAATTTCGTGCATGTTTCTAGAATGAAAAAGTGACGAACAAAAATGAATTTATCATTTTTGTTCGTCACTTTTTCATTATTTATTATTTTCAGCTATGATCGTCCCACTGCAGGGCAAACGCCTTCATCATGAAAAAAATTATAACGCGATACTTTTTGACATATGTACTAAATAGACCCTGACCTGGATTAACACATAGGATAGAGGACATGTTTTTTAGCAAAATCATCAATTACCAAAAAACGTTGCACACTTTATAAAATAAGTTTTTGATATGTGTATATGAGAATATTTCACAATTTTGACAATAAGATATTGCCATTATCTGTTGGTATCAAATGTTTTCCTCTCATGTATAATGCCATCACATAATATAAAATTAACTTTACTGTATGACACATTATATTTATATTATTACGACTTCAATAACTTTAGCTACCAATCATTATAATAATGAGATAATTATTTACATAGTTATAATATTACATTACATTATTATGTTTATTTATTTATACACTTTGTTTACAAACAATGTCTAAAATTAGTTTAAGTGGTATTTTACCATTATAAGTAGTTTCAAGTAAATTAACCTCTTGTCTGTTGATATATGAGACACAATAGAAAACATATTGTGCCTCGCAGAGATCTGCATTCCGACAAATCACAGGTTAATATGAATTTTAGTCAAGGTAAACATTAAAGAGATATATATATGGTTTATATGCAAGTCACAATTATTTTGTGAACTTTAGAAACTTTGAAGAAATACAAAAACCAGTGTGAGTAGTGAGTTCGGAAAAGCAAGGATACATAGAAGGATTTTTTTTTCTTCTTGAATGGCAACCGAGTCTCTAATACAGTGTCGAAAGGTGACAACAGAAGTTACATGTAGGTTTATTGCATTTAATTAAATTTTTTAATGTTTTTTATTTAGAACAATGTAGAAAATTGTATCTTCTGCTAAAGAATTTTAAATTAACTGTAAACAACAACAATTTTCCATTTGAAACTAATATGTCCAGACTAATAATGTTATAAATTGGAAAGTGTTGGTTTGTCTTTATTTCACATCACAATATAGCTTTTCCTTGATACCTAAATAAGCTTTTTGTTACTGAACATAGTGAGATTGTAGATTGAATTTTTTGCCTTTGACCACACAAGTAAAGCCTTGTATGTAAAGCTAGTATTTATATTTTAAATACCCTAAGCATTAAATAAAATAAAATTAATTGCAATATGAAAACCACGATCAAACCTCAATTGGATTCATAAATTTATTTTTACCATAAAGGAAAATAAGTACTGTAATGTAAATAAACAGAATAAGTAGTACACCACATTCATTTGTTTTTATAGCCACACTTTTGAAATTTGCATACAAAGCCAGTTACCGCAGGAAAAAGATAGCAGACTTTCAACTCCAATACTTTAAAACACACTATACATTCTGTTTTAGTAATCAATATACTGTCTAAGTAGTTAGTGCATTTATCTAAAAGTAAAGGTCCTAAAGTACTGTTCAACTGGTACAGAATTAGTTTTTAGATATTTTTCAGTGTCACTGCTACTAAAAATAAACCTATTGACAAGTTGTTTACATTTCGTTTTGAATGTTTATAATTCTTAATATTATTTGATGTTTATAATATTTTCTGATATGAGATTGAAGATGTAGCAAGTCTTGTAGTTGTAGTGCTGATGGAACAATAAGCCCATTGCATATTAAGTCGTTATGTTTCTTTACTTAAAAACCTAACTTTATCTTTGACTACTTCTTATTATTTTCTTACCTATTTTGTTAAATATAAAAAAATCAAAGAACCAGTTTTAAATTAATAATCACTATTACTAACTAATTGACATGGTTCCCAAAATGGAAACCAAGTAAAAATCATAATGCTTTTGAAAGAAACCAACTCGGAGAAGTAACTTTCTATCGAGTATCTGATCCCAACATACATAAAAGGCAAAGCAGAGTCCGAAAAATAAAACCAGCCTCAATAAACAATGTAGCATTGTAAATAAATAGACTTTCAATCACTTTCCCTCATAATAACATCATTAAATCAATCAAAAACAGAATACAACTTACATACTTCAATAAATTATGATAAGATAACTCGATAAATATGAAATATAATCACTGTTAAGTAGGAACAGCTTCTGTAGATAATGAGAAGCCCCCAGCATACAACTACAGTTGATGCAACAATGCAAAACTCAAGTGCAAACTTTCATAATGAAATTATCATAGACAATCTAATAAGAACTTCTTGGAAGATACACCTCCTTTGATATCAAAGCTGGATATAAACCTCATTGGTCTTAATTTCGAAGGTAGGTCAGAATCTAACGCGTTTAGAGTTTAACAATGCTAGGACTGCTCAATAGACTACTTCACCTGTGACCTACTTAAAACCTGCTAGTTTTGTTTACAATATGCACTGAATACAAAGACGTGACAGCTGCATTAGGTGGAACTAACCCTAAGTGATAACTATACTCAGAAAGTGTCAACAATATCCTGCAAAAACCTGAAGAAATCAGGGTCAATGTTTTGTAAACTGCAGAAAGAGATCTTGTTGACGTAAGTTGACACACCAATTAAGGTGTCGGGAAAAAGTATATTTTAAGGATTGTATAGGACACTTACCGTCAGGGTTGGAGCCATCATCCGGGTTTTCATCGGTCGGTTTCTCCCTCAAAGAAGACAATAGGTTCACAGCTGACATAGCTCGCAAATCCTCCACTCAATTTCTCAGTCTTCTCGCAATATATTACTTTTGCTAAAATTCTATAACAACTTTACAATATATACAAAATTGTTCAGGAAATTAATCTATCACCTATGTATTGTTTATATCACAGACTTTTCGTTTTTCAACAATACGGATCAAAACGTCCACGCACGAAAATACTATCAATATTTATAAGACTCTAGATATAATAGACTTATTTACACATTAAAAACTAACGTTTATCATCTAATTTTTAACAAATACGCTCTAGCGGTCACAAGATACTCATAACTAAAAGATTTTATCAGTTTTCGATGCAAAAATATATAAAACGTCCGCCATATGCCTTTTGAAACGTATATAACACGCCCATGTTAAATTTGCACAACTGCAGTGCGCTATTGAGTGAAATTTTGAATCCGTAATTTGTTCGTATAATATCCAGTTGCCATTGTTTAGTTTTTTTTTTGTAAAACGGCGTTCTTTGTGGTTTGCAAAATAATCATGCAGGTTCTGAAAACAAGTCAATTTAACTCATTTGTGATTATCTAAATGGAATTCATATTTGAAAATTGTTATGTAACAAAGACCAAGTGTTTGAATCAGAAAGGTTGTTTTGAAAGTACAATTTTTATATTTGGCAATTTTGGGCACTTGTAGTTGAAATAATGAATAAGTTCTTCCTTGAATTTCACATAAATTGCTAATTTTGTACTAAAATAGGTTAGCTTGATTACATTTTCGTAGTAAATATGTTTCTACTTGAACAAATAGTTTTTATGCTTTAATGTTTTCTTTTTTTATTCTCTTTGCATTTAATTTCTGAACTGAACTGTGCTGTGCATTTCTTTGCTTTTAATTTTGTCTATGTTAATGAATAGAATAGATGAAACGAAAACGTTCAGGATCTAAAAGAAAGTATTGATTTTAGTACTAGATTTTTAATACCAAGAACCCTTCTGTTTAATATTAAAAAAATCCAGTAAGATAAACAAACTTTTAATGTATCGTAACCTAATCCGTTCCACTATTATTTTATTTTTGGAGCAACATTTATAAATCATTAAAATATTTAATAGATTTCTGAACGATTCCTGTCATGGTGCGACTGCGACTTCGAATCGGCATGCATTGGTTCGAAGTTTTGATAATTTTCTAATTTTTGTAAAAATGTCTTTAAAATGGACTGGAGGTCAAAGTGAGTCCGGTATATTAAGAAAGAGTGAGTTCAAGGAGAAGAAAGAAGACCTTTTCGTGTTCGGCTACTCGTGCAAATTGTTCAGGGACGATGATAAAGCCCTTCACATTGACCAAGGCAAACACCTCATTCCGTGGATGGGGGATGAAACGTTGAAAATCGACAGGTTCGACCAGTTTTTTACTATAAGACTGCTAACTGTGGCGCTATAAACCTACAAAAGATAGTTATTTATCAGAAAAAATTAAATTTTCGGAAGATCTTTAAGTATTTCGCAGAGGATGTTTGTTCGAAGTCCGATGTGTGTGAAGATCGAGCGTCAGGCGCCTCAGGTGCTCGTGGCGTCGCGTAATGTTATGGTGACAGCCGCCGGTGGTATGTATAACCTGCAACGGTACACTTGAGTATGTATAACTACTATGTTAAAGAGACAGGTGTTGATACTGATAGATGATTGTTCCCAGTCACTTGTTGAGCAAAATTTCTCTTGTTAGCCCATATTATGCTAGATTTATATGGAATAGTGAAGGGAATTATAGGGTGTTTATGTTAGGATAGCATTTCCTCATCATTTGTATTATATTCAAATGTCACAACATTTTGTTTGAATATGGCTTACTACTAACATGTTGTAGGGATTTTCCTTAATATTGTATTGGCACAGCGTGTATGTATAAGCTTATAAATACAAAAATACATATATCAGTGTGTGAATTAAGGATAAGCTAATATTAGCCTTTTATTCTTCTGACATATTGTTATGAAGAACATATTCCACTCTCAACCAAATGAACTTAGAACTATTTGTGTACTGAAAAATGGTTTCGCAACCAACAGTTTTGGCTTACAGGATACCATGATTAACAAGCTATTAACGCGAATTAATATCTGAACAGGTATGATGCACGGGGAGCCCTGCACGACCTGACGAGGCTTGAAGCCCCGCCGGGAGGTTACGACTGGCGAGTGGAACTTACTAGGGCTGAGCTGGATGTGGAACAGCTATGTGATGAGGAGCGATATCGTGCACTGCACACTGATGAGGATGAAGAGGAAATGTATAAAGGTATGCACAATGTATACACTTATTTGTTTCTGTGCCGTTTCACCTGTTTTTACTCAGGTCCTATTGATCGCAGCGTGATGTTTTATAGCCTGTAGTATTCCTCAATATATGCACTACCCAACACAAAAAGAATTTTCAAATCATATCTAATAGTTACGGAGATAAGCATGTTCAAACAAACAAACTTCAGCTTTATTAGTCTAGGATATAGGAAGTACCTATAGTATATGGCTGAAAATAATCATTATTATTTAAACCATAAGTTTTATATCTAGAAGCCATTCCTTATAAATTTATTCATTAAACAAGCTGCTAGCTTCAAATAGAATTCAATTCCAATAGTTTAAAGTTCTTATTAGAGAAATTATTATTTACTTTAGATCTATTTGAATTCACGGTTTAATAGGTACTTATTAACACCTTCATATACCAACAGGTTGTTTGTAACTTGTTGTAATTATAAATCGGAAAGTGAGTTTGTTTGTTTGTTTAGTTATAATATTATAAATCGGAAAGTGAGTTTGTTTGTTTGTTTGTTCCCCTTTCACACCGTAACTACTAAACCGATTGCTTTGAATTTTTACAGACGTAAATTTAGAAGTCCGGATTAAATAATAGGGTACTTTTTATCCCGGAAAAATGTGATATTTCCGAGGGAAAACAAAAGTATTGGTATAGATGGCACTGTGTGTGTGCATAGGCTACTTTTTATCCTTTTGTGACGCGAGCGAAGCCGCGGGTAAAAGCTAGTCTTTTATAATTGGCTTTTCATGTTGACGTAAGTGAATTTGTACCTTGAATACATTATAACAAAGTTTACTAATAAAGTTAATGTTTCAATTCCCACTTATGTGTGATTCAAAATATGACTATTACTTATTGTAATGTGTGTGTATCTATATGAAATTTTTTATTTAGCTATAACAGGAAAATACCAGTACAAAAGTACATAGGAAAAACAGCATAAACAATGTGAATTTTTGTTTAATAAAATGAAAAGATGTAAAAGCAGCCTAAGGTTGTCTGGAAGAAATTGCTTTGCGTGATAATTAAAGTAATTTTATTTTCTCCTGTATTTTTGTAAGGTGTACATTAACTCGTCGAGTACCGGTTTTATAGACACAATTAAAGAACAATAGGTCGCGGTCACCGGTGACCGCTTGGTGTTTGACAGTTTAAAGCATAAATAATTGAAACTAGCTTCCGTCAATGGCTATACGTTTCCGTAGCCATAGTCTTCCGTAGTATAAAAACTAGAGTGTGTGTTATTTTTAAAGATCTATAGTATTAAAGATTTAAGCATACATAGGGACAGACAGACGGCGGATAGCGACTTTGTTTTATACTATGTAGTGAAGAAGATAAACATATTGTATCTAAATCACCTAAAATTATTTTTGTTGTTACAGAGGAAGAACTAAAGCGCCTGCATGCAGCTGGTTATGGTCAGGTGGGGTTCAACTACGATACTCCGGCGGAACCAGAGCCTCCGCCACAACCAGCCGAGGTGGATGAGGAACCATTCACACCCACACCTGCGTTCAGGGCCCTACTGCCTATTGACACTGTGTTTGTGAGTTTATTTGTTTACTTATAAAACTATATCTGCATTGCCTCAAGTTGTGTTTGTAAGTGGTGTTAATTATGAGTTTTGTTTTTAGAGTTCATAATGTCTTTTTTTATAAGATCGCCGCCGTGCAGAGTGTACCTCTAAGTGCCGTAATGTCACTGTACAATGTAGCACCCACTTTTTACTATTTACATATGTTGTGAGTCTCATGTAATAAAGAATGAGCCTATTGTCATACCAGGAACAATTCCAAACTCCGTGCTACTACTGAGAATTTTTAAAAACCCACGTAATACTTTGCTCGACTAGAGAATTGAACCGGAGGTCTCTTGCCCGGCAGTCGCACTTGCGACCACTCGGCCAACTAGGCAGATGTCTTTAATATTTATACTGGAGCCCAGAGCAGTTATAACTAAAATTTTCCGGGTTATACAGCTTTTTAATTATACCTCTTTCTTCTTTCTGAGAGCTATAATTTGATGCAAATGGACTGGTACAGTGGAGTAATCATTAAAGAAAACTGATTGTCTTGCCGGTTTAAATACTGCTTATGACTGCACTTCATATCATAACCTTAATTAACATTAAAGGTGTAAATATTTTAGTTATTTATAATATTAATATTAGTTTAAATATAGGTTAATCATAGAAATATGTATGTATATTTGTAATTTTTTTTTTTAAACATTGCCCCACACTAGGATTTTCTCCTGTGTCGTGGGTGCGTTTACAAACATACAAATTCACATACACATGACACCCAGACCCGGAACAACAATTTGTGGATCACACAAAGTGTTGTTCCGTGCGGGAATCGAACCCGCGACACGTTGCACGGCAGCCGGTTGCCCAGCCACCGCACCAACCGTGCAGTCAATTAAAGATCAATTAAACAATAGAATAAAATTTAAACATTTATTTATACTGATTAATATAACAAAATCCGTAACAATTCTATTTCTTTCTGTTTACAGCCTGAAACCCTAAAACAGAATGCGATAATAGAGAAGACAGCGAAGTTTATAGCATCGCAGGGCGCTCAGATGGAGATCCTCATTAAAGCGAAGCAGGGCGACAATCCACAGTTCAAGTTCCTCAACCGAGACTCGTCCCTGCACCCTTACTATACCGCGCTTATTGGACTTGTCAAGGCTGAGAAG